AACAGAGTGAAAACTTTTAACTTCAAATTATTAGATCTTAAAAAATTTCGAACCCAAGCTAAATTTTGCTAAAAATTTCTATTTATATTTTTAGTTAAAAATAAAATATTTTTAAAAATAAATCTAACTTAAGCTTAACCTACTTTTCAACAATAAAAATTTGATATGAATTTAATATTTTGAATTTTTACATAATACTAACTAACAAATCTTACATTTAGATAAATTTTTAACGTGTTTAATGTTTAAAAATTAAAAATAATTTACTAAATTTGGTTTAATTCTTAAACGAAAATAGTTCACACTACATCATTTTTAACTCTGAACTTACATCCTTGATTATTATTATTATTTTTAATTTCGAATACTTAATAAAGATTAATTTTTTTAAATACTAATTACTTAAAATCCTATAGGAATAGGAATCAAATTTCTAATAATTTTGATGTTATTAAAGATTTAAAAATGATGCGAATTCATTTGGATAAGTAACTCAGGATAAATCTTCGGAGAGATTAGCAATAAATTAATGAATTCTCATCGATAAATTCAAATTAATTAACAAATTTCACTCGTAAATAAGCTTAACGACATTACTTAAGAGGCGCACTTTATTAATGTGGGGGAGGGGGTGCATACGATCACGTGAACGAATAAACCATTTTAATCAACGAATAATATATCAATTTGTAATTTAATAGAAGTTTTACAGCTTGGAAAACGATTAAAGACGATAAATCTTCATCTTATTCGTAAGATTTGAACGAATTTAGTAGAATAAAATTCGTTGGAATGTCGCTAAGAGGGATGTAGATTAGTCAAAGCTCAGTAACCATCCCGATCGTTGTAGGCTGCAAATCAATAGGATAGACAAACATCGCAAATTTCTGTCAGATGTCATCTACCAATTCACACGGTTGCTTGGATTGCACTACGAATTATCACATGCAGAACGAAGATAATGAAGTAGTGGACGTTTATCCATTCAGTAGAGTTTATCCATCGGCGGTCACTAGTTGTCTAACGTCAACTCCTATTCAACTATGCAGTCTAGCGATACGGGCAGGTGTCGTTGACAGAAGACATCTCATCATCTATTTAGGTACTTTATATGGATAGAAACCCCCTGTTTCTTTATATAAAAGTCGAGCTGACGGACACGTCAGTCATATTCTAATCTCCTCTTTACAGGTGATTCTAACTAACTTGTTGGCTTTTGATCAAATACTTTGACAGCCAAAACTTTAATTTAAAAAAAAAAATACATCTCGACTTACTTTTTACATCATTTTAATACTTAAAAATAGAAAAAAAAAAGAATTAAATTTTACGTTAAAAAATTAATATATTTGAAAAGTTTCTTAATAAGTAAATCGAGGGTAGGGAGGAGAAAAAAAAAGAGAGAAAATATTAATATTTTAATTAATAAATTAAAGAGAAATGTAAAATCTCAAGAATTTAATTTATTTTAAAATTGTCACTATAAAAATCTGTAAGAACATTAATTAGGATTTAATTAGTTTAATGGATTTACGAAAATATAAACAAGTTATTTGNAAAGAGAGAAAATATTAATATTTTAATTAATAAATTAAAGAGAAATGTAAAATCTCAAGAATTTAATTTATTTTAAAATTGTCACTATAAAAATCTGTAAGAACATTAATTAGGATTTAATTAGTTTAATGGATTTACGAAAATATAAACAAGTTATTTGAGTAGATTTACTTCAACAAATCGTTATATAATTTTCTACTTATTAAAATTTCGTTTACAGACCTTCTACTTCAGGCACATTCTAAAGCATTTTCAATAAGTTGCGACCATCCAGACAAAGCAAACAAATCTCTTTAAGAAGTTCATTTAATTCTGATTATGTTTACTACTTTAAAAATACTTATTACTCATCCTAAGCATTTTATTTTTTTTTTTTTACTGGTAAGCGTAGAAGTTAAAGAAGGCCGCATGCTAAATTCAGTAAACGAGAGATAATTTTATAAATATTTTTGTATAAAATTAGCATCGAAGATGAAACTTGTCATAGAAAATCTAGTTTTATAAAAGATTTTAGTAGGGTATTTTAACTTGTCGTTAAGAAGCATATGTTACTTTTTAAAATTTGCAGTTCTATAAATGAAAGTCGAAAAGTCTTTTTCATTCTTTTTACTTTTTTTTTTTTTTTTTATAAGTGCTCGATCCGGATCAGACAGTACACACATTCTAAGGCATGGAATGGCTGACAATAACTTCAAAAGAACCAATCTGTAGAATCGTTATCCTCAGAATATATTCCACTAAGAGAACTTTAGCCTATTCTACAATACATTTGAGTCCATCAAAAGAATGCCATCTTTCTTTCCATCGAGATTTCCACCAGCGAATACTGATTAAAATAGATTAAAAACATGAAAAATTCTTACAAACTCTCCACCGTACTTAATCTTTCAGTTAAATTACCCAAAGAGTTCTTTAAAAAACAAAAAAAATTTGACAATAAATTATCGATTTGTAAAGGAATAAAAACGTAGAAAAATTTTTACAACTAACTAATCTAAGCCATTGTAAATTACTTTAGTCGATCATTGATAAAAATGGAAGAAAATAAAGTCAATATTATATTAATGGAATATTTATTACGATAAATTCCGAATTCTTTATAAATAATAGAATCATCAGAATAAGAAAGACTAATTTCGTATTTATTGAGATTTATATTGGATACGATGTTTACTACATCAATTATTTTTGTATATGTTATATATCCTATCAAATGATTACATGTTTATATATCTTAAATTAACTATAGAGCATGAACTAGATGATCGACTAACTAACTGATTTAAGGTAATTCGAATCCAATTTAATAATAGAAATTAGGTGTTTCCGCATGACGGTATTTGGAATCTCAATTTACTAGGTTCATAAGCATTTTACACAAAGGATGAGTTTAGTTTAGAATAGCAATTTATCCGAGATGATGCGGATAGAATGGCAATTTATCGAGTGATATTGCTAGAAAATAATTCCGAATACGCCATAAACGTTTATATATATATATAAAACTTTATCCTATTTTAGACAGGGAAGAACTTAGATTAAATACACGTCTTCGTTTAATCGTTCGAAAACAGATTAAATATTGTTTATTCTTTAAAGATTTAAAAAAAAAAAAAATCAATTTTATCATCTCAAATTCTTTATTTTAAAGGTATTTTATGTAAAAAATTATATTGTTTCTATAGGAAATAAATGGTTAAAATATAGCTTATATTTTAATCATTTATATAACGATTTTTAAAATATTGATTGAAATAATTTATTTAAAATTAATTTATAAATAAATATAGTAATCGATTTCGTAAAATAATAAATTTCATTTTTTGAAATTTCCACGATAAATCTCTCAATTTCATAGAGACTGGGAAGTTAGAATTAGATCAGCTGTTGAAATTGAAAGATTTATTTCTAAAGAATGGAAACATGTGATTTTGAAATGGATTATTTTCTTACTTTTTTTCTTTCTTTCTAAGCCAATATATGATACAAATATACATATAAAGAAATATTTTAAATTTTCTACATGAGAAAGGATGAGGGGGGGAACGAATTCGGATCGAAGAGGATTTTGTAAAACTAATTTCGGATAAGGGGGGGAAGAAAATCTCGTTAAAAATCTGAAAATCGCGTTTGGAACGAGCGATTGAAAACTATTAACTTTAGCAAAAATGTTACGACAATGGCGTATTTTTTTTTCTTTTCTTTCTTTTGGCTTGAAATCGCGGAGGTGGGACGAGAAGGGAATGTTGAAACGGGAAACGAAATCTTTCTTACGTTTCTTGGGGGATTGTAATAACTGGCGTTTTATTTCCAACAGATGGAATTTCAATAGGAGATACAGGTAAGTAGACGGATCTAGAAAGCGATGCAGGAAAACCGCTGCAGAAGGATGCAGCATTCGGAGCGGGAGATGGGATGGGAGGAGGTACTTGGAAAGAGAGGAGGGAGGAGAAGTGATCGATCGAATGTTGTCTGTCCAGCAACAACACTACACTGCTAACCTCAGCCGTAAGTCGACTTAAACCTTTTGTAGTGTTTGATGCAACAGAATTGATTAAATCTACTTCACTATAATAACAATTACAAACGCAACCATACAATATACTATAAATATATATATATATACATATATAAGCTAGAATAATAAACGAGCTTAGCATAATCGCTTAAAAGACCCGCTTGCCTAACGTTTCTTATAAAATATATATATAACGAAATTTAAATATTAATTTTTTGTTTTGAGTTTTAATACTAGCCGAAACGAAGCCGGTATGTTTGGCAGATAGGATTAATTAATATCTGTTTGGCTGCGACGAGCAATCGGAATCATCATAAATATCGCATCACACCAACACGCCTGTAGGTCGCCATCTTGTATGAATGAGAAACAAGTGACGAAAGTGTAAAACGAATGCGATTAACGAATGAGTCGACGTAGGAAACGAAAGGTGAAAAACCCGAAGGTTTTAAGGTTGGAGGTTCGCGACCGTGTTACCAGGCTGTGGCCTCCGGTGCCCCGGGGCATCAAGGCCATCGTCTTTTACGGCAGCGATGCATATAAATGGGTGAAAGGGAGATTTAATAGTAACTCGATAAGTAGAAAGTGTAAGCGACGTGCATCCTGGATCATACGGGTAGGTTACGTTTTCGTTATGTTATACTTTTCGAGCCGGCTTCGACCGTGGTACGATGGTTTCGAGGGGGGCGAAAGTGAAGTAAAATCGCGTAACGTGGGCGTTTCTATTGTTTTCGAATAAGAAAAAAACATCAAAAATCGACTGGTTGCGAGCGATATCCGGCACGTTTTGACGTCCGACTTCGCTCTCACCTTCACCTCGACTAGTTAATGCCCTCTGTAGTCCATCCTCCGTCCGATTGCAGTCAAACCAGCTATGCCGACGGCGTCTCGCCTATTTAAATCCCCGATAACTTAGTACACTTACCTGGATTGCAGGCCCATAGGCATACAAACAGCGCCAACAAATGGCATGATTTCTTCAAAATCATCTCATCTACAGTTCCACTTCCGATGGACCACTCGCACACCCTTGGATGCAGTTAAAAATCCCTGTCAAAAATGGCACTCGGCTTCGTCGCCGCTATCCACTGACTTCCCATCCATACACATTTGATGGTCAAAAAGCCTTTCCTTCCTTCCTTCCTTTGATCGCCTCGGTAAAACCGCAACCCTCAAACCTTGTCAGCGGAGCAACCAATCACAAAATGCGACGACAAGAACCGCTGTGATTGTGACAATACCAATCCAACGTGTACATACTTCGAGGTTTCTTTTAAACCATGTTTAACGGCGTGGCGATAGAAATGCGAGAGAAAATTTAAAAAAAAAAAAGGGTGTAGCGGGCGAGATTCGATCAGCGATAGCAGTACGGTGTTGTCCTACTGCACCACCATACAGTTGCCATGTCCGTAAACAGTCGAGGCAGGTGTCGCACTTCCAGCAAGCGCGGGGCCGTTCGCTGTCCGTCACTAGCCCCGACTCTCGGGTACGAGATTGTCTGACGGCTCCCTCTATCGCCCTTCGTTCGTACTACGCGGTCGAGTCGTGGTAAGTGGTCCATATTGGATTCGTGCTGTAAGTACAGTCTTTTCTTCTTTTTTTCTACCTCCATACGTCTTTTCTATTAACTAAATTAATATATACCATTATTATTATTATTATTTTAAAAAATTTTCTTTCAAATTTAAATATTTAATTGTTTTTATGCTCGTTAAAGTTTAAGCCTAATTTTAGGCCTATTGAATTTTACTTTTTCTTGGCTAAAAAAATTAATTAATTATAATTTAAATTAGTTTTATGTAATATATTTGTTTATTACACGTTTTGACCTTTATAAAATGTATTAATAAGCTATTATAATATTTTAATAGCGTTTTTAATGGATTTCAATTCGTAATTGCTATGCCTAACCATGTGCTTATTGTTACCCATGATTCATTCTCAAAGCGTTACTGTGTACTGTAGGCCTACAAATTCCAGCTCTAGCGTAATTTCTGCTTATAATCTTTTATTTTTTTAACTATAATAAACAATTTAAATATTTCTTAGTTTATAATCTCACTTGATTTTCCTCGTTTTTTCCTTCCTCCGAATATACCATTGTTACGTGTGTCATTTCCTTATTGAATATCGTTATGGTATAATGAATTCTTTGTCTCACTCGCTTTCTGAGTTAATTTGTCAGCATAATTGATATTTATTAGCTATAACTATGGTAGCTATTATAAATATTACAGTAGACATGCAACTCTGAATGAGAGTACAATTTTTACTGGATAGAACCTTAGATTGTGCCCTATAGGAGTGAAAAACCGATGATCTAGGTGTGGTCATTTGTTATATATAGTCTCACGAAACTGGCCTGCTGGAATTTTGAATACTCTCAAAAATTTAAAAGTGAAAAAATACGGGATAATTAAATGGTTTATTGTTGTTTACCATTAGTTGGTAAGTAGTCTCGTAGGTTTTTGTTTATAGCATTTTTTGAGTCGGCACCTAATAATTTTGTGTGTTTTGGAAATGTCTATCAAATGTGTGTTTAACTTATGGATACAAATTCACCGAGTTCAGCGTTATTAACGCTGAACTCAGTGAATTTGTATCCATAAGTTATACGAACATTGGCGTGAGTTTTTAAATTTATTTTCAAATGTGTGTTTTAAAAAACAAGTTAAAAAGAAAATGCATAATGGTAAGAAACTGTATAATTACCAAATATAGAACTATTTCTTAAAACAATGCTAAAGATCAACTACCTTCCACTTTACAAGAGACTACTAAGAGTAGTAGTAGGTGGAGTGGCATCTCTGCCATTCCTCCTACTACTACTGGGGTATATCTATATACAATATAAAGGGTGTCTAAAAAGTCACTATTCTATTTTGAAAAATAATTGAATTATGGAAAAAGCGTACAATTTAAGTGTATAAAATAAATATATTTTAAAATATATACTGCAAAATTTTGTTCCATATGACGACTATCGGTGTTTACAGAGCTCAAAGTGATAAGTTGCTTTCTGGAACATTTTCCAGCATTACTTACAAATAGCCTTGTCTGTTGGACCTTTCTTAATTAAGCAACTTCTTTTCTAAATTGTCTGATTTTCTTGCATTTCAAACCTTTTATCTTGCATGTTCATCATTAGTCTGAAATGGAAAGCTAAAGGTGGACCAACTCATTATTAGAGGGTGTGTCTAATTTCTTGGCCACTCAGTGTATATCTTGCAAAGGGTTATGTGTAGACCATTGATTTCTTTGATGTTTTTACACTTATGGACATAATCTACAGCTCTAATAAGGTCCCAAATGCCTCATTCAGAGCTGCATTTGTAATACTATAATAAAATACAGAACTGTGTTTTCATTATTAAGTGAAATGGCACTTTGTTCGCTATCCGAATTGTTCGTTAACCGATTATGAATTTACCATAGGTTTGTATGGGAATTTGATTAATTCGTTCTGGAGACATCCCAAAATAAAAAATATATACTTTCTTACTACGTTTATTTCTATGTATACACAGATGTGCATTTTTATTAGTTATGGTTTTTTTTTTTGTGGGGGTTAAATAATCTGTCTAATGTCGATTGCTTTTCTCTCTTCTTCGGGATTTTTCAGAAGTAATTAATAGCATTGTAATTGTAGAGATCCCCAAGCCTATTAACCTCAACCTGGTTTGTATGCCATTCTAAGACCGTTGATCTGACATCCCCCATTTCTTCAAAAGATCTTTAATTAATAGCAGATATCGGCATTAATCCTCTTTTTCAGAATAAAACATATCTTGCCAAGTTTCTTGGTGTTCTTCATTCAAGAGTTCTTGACGTTCTTCTGTCGTCAGATCCGTTTCAGGTTCCATTATGAGCTCTTCATTGTTCTTTATTTCTCAGATGTGATTTTTGTTATTCCTTTAGCTGCTTGAGTCTTCTTGATAATACAGTATCTTTGTTAGATAAGATTGAACTGTGGCCTACTGTAGACCTGTTCAAGCCATACTGTCCAGCAACATCAGACATCTTTTGCGCACTCTCTACCTTTGCTATTATACTCTCACCTTTCGAAAATAAAAACTGACACAAAACTTAATGAGTGCCCGCCCGACAGTCTCGCGAATACTATAAAAGAATTGTTTGTCAGAAAAATAAAAGGTTGGAATTACAAGGGAGTATTTCAAAGTTCGAGGGATACTATCTAATCAGTATATTATCAGGTTGAGTGTTGATGTTGAGGTCTTCTGCGCTCCAAAAAGTTACCTGAAAACAAAGGAAAATCAGTCGGTATTTGCTATTTCCGTCACTTCTTTTTGTCTGTTCAGTAAAGTGTTCGTTGTCCGATCATAAAAATCTTTCGCGAAAGTGTTTGTTATCCGATTTGTTTGTTAACCAATCACCCACTTATGGTTAGATTCATCCTGCAAAAAAGAAGTCAGTAAAATTTATTAACCTTAGGAAGATTGGCATTTTTTAGCCATTTGCAAATTGTTTTTTTTTAACACCAATAAACTAAAGTACTAAAACAACATACATATTTAGCTTATATATTGAAATCAATGAAAATATGTAGATAAATCAGTATAAATGCAATAATAAACAAATTGGCTGAAAAACTATATGTTCAATGCTTTTACTACAATAAAATTGTAGTAATTTTTGTTTTTTGCTAATCATCTTGCTGATAATTATGATGCAAGTTTTGATGAAACCTGTAAATGATTTATGATTCCAATTCCAAAATGCCACTTAAAAAAAATTTTAGTGTGCAAGCTTATGATATGAAAATACCTTTTACTTCACAATATACATTCAGACTGTGGTTTGTTTCTTCCAGTGGAATTTATTAAATATTTTTGTATTAATCTACAAAGAATAAAAACCAGTAATTAGATGAGAATATTCACAATGAAATTTGATAACTCATCATAATTTTGTTGAAATATGCTAAAGTTTTATGCTTTACTGTAAACTGACTAAATGAAAATTAGATTTTAACAAAGTTAATTGCACCTCATGTCAAATGATCTAGTGCAGTGGTTCCCAATTAGTTTTTCCTGTGTACCACTTCAAGAAAGAGCTCAAACTCGCGTACCCCTTATAGCAGAAATTCGTATTAATCCATACTAATATTATAAATTCGAGAGTAATTCTGCCTTTTTGTCTGTTACCTTTTTACGTCTAAACCGCCGAACAGATTTTAATAAAATTTGGCACAGAGATAGCTTACATGTTGGAGATGGACATGGGAGAAAATATCTTACTCCCACGAGAAAATTCATATAATGCAGGCGAAGCTGTGGGTAGACAGCTAGTGATAAATAAAATAAGTTTTTTTTACATTTATTACCTTTAAAATATAATTTTAATAATAATGAAAATAACATAATGTTGTTTAATTTTAATGTGACAAATGTGCACGATTTTCTTTGCACAACTTTGTAAAATCTGTCTGCTTCAAAATTGGTCAGCTTCAGTCTGAAGTCACCTTTGAGTTGAAGTCGGTGACTATGTTTAGTTTTCATGTTTGTCATGATCGAAAATCTGCTCTCGCAGAGGTATGTTGTGCAAAATGATAGTAAATATTTAATTGCTGCTTTGCTGACATGATGATAATGATAATTGTACAATTTTTGTTACTTGCGTAAGAATTTCATTTAGGTATTGTCACAAATGCATTTTTTTAAATGAAATTTTGAGAATATTTTTAGTTATAAATAAACGAATTTGTGCATTCGACATCATGTTGTAAATTGCCAAATTTTTGATGGTCTACCCATTATTTTTTTGATTGCTTCATCTCATAAATTTAAATTTTAAATCGACCAATTTTAGATTGCCGCACGTACCCCTTCAAGCAATTTCGTGTACCCTCAGGGGTACACGTACCAGTAATTGGGAACCATTGATCTAGTGTAATTGTTACAATGTAATGTATTTTGTCTTATGGCATTAAAGCATTTTATTCAGAAATGTTGGTTTTAAGGCCATAAGACAGAATACGTTACATTGTAAAACTACATTTATTGGGCTGCAATTTGAAAAAAACAAATGTAGATCTATAAATTTCCACTGTTGACTTAATCTGTTCCAGGTGCACATCCGTTAAGTGAAAAGTCCGTTATACGAAACGCATTTTCTCATAGAAATACATGTTAAAACATAATTTGTTCCACAGCATAAAATAACCGTACTCTACCATAAAAAAATGAAAATGGAGCAGTCACCAATTTTGCTGGGTAGTCAGATATCATGAGGAGGAGGTGGCGGAACACTTTCTTTACACATTCATACAGATACAGACTTTGTACACATTTCAGCAGGTCTCTTTTTATTGTTTTTTAATC